AAATGAAACCAGGAATTGGTATGTAATATAATTTACATTTGCAGTAGTTAAATATTAAACTCATACTCTATGGTTCATAGGTATTTGTTGGCAAACTGAATGCAGCCATATTTAGTCCTTTCTCTCATGGGCCATTCAGATTTCAACAACTACACAGAATTTGGCTGGGCCAGTGTCCATAGAATATTCTAACGAGCAATTAAGAAAAACCTAAAACCGAATGCTGGGAACTTCATTCTGACTCTTTGCCACCCTATGAAACCAGAAAGATACATCTTGGCCTGAGACGTAAAGACAGAGCTTCATGTGAATCATATGTATGAAGAAATAGGGGAGAATTTTCACCTCAAAGTTAATAATTCTATTCATAACTTAATGACTATGTTTTCCTGAGAATTCTCTCTGTAGTAATTTGTTTTGATTAATTACATATCACTAATTTGGAATATTTGGCTTTCTTATGACTTTAGCAACATTATTTGTTCCAAATAAATCATTTTAAAAGTTTCTGTGTTAAAAAAAAAAAAGTTTCTGTGTTTCCTCTCCAATGCATTTGGCATTGTTCTGGAAATTCTTTCATGCCTGTATCATGTTTGCTCTGAGTCTCCCTCCAGATAAGTGTTTCTCTTGTTTAGGAGCTTATGCCACCCCTGCGGTCACTTGCATGGTTGGGTAGGGAGGTGGTCCCATTGAGAGGTTTACAGAGATATGAAATGAAGTTTCTCAGACCTTTGGTTTATTATTGGACACCCCCTCCCGTCACCCCCACCCCCCACACACATGTGCCAAAAATTAAAACCTACTTGCAGCTACAGAAAAGATCACAGAAGTAAATCTAGGAACACTAGGTTCACCAAAAGCACTTTCAAACAAAATGTCAAAGAACAGAGGAAGATAAAAGAGTTACTAAACTTTTAAAACTAGGACCAGAAAAGGGATGCTCCATCAGTCCCTAGCAAAGTTCACCCAGAAATCTGTCCTGAAATGGAGAAAGTTTTGTCTCCCAGAGAGAGCCAGATAAGGACCAGGATGAAACATAAAATAGACTTTGCTCGCTAGAAAAAAGTGAAGCAATGATTATTGTGCTGAAAGAAAAAAAAATCCAGGAGAACGCTTCTGTTTGGAGAATGCCCTATCTCTCCATGCCCTTGTTTTGTGGTTCTAAAGCCACAGTTCTAATCCATACAACTACCAATACCCAAAGGCCAATATGGTGTCTGCCACTGATTATCTACTGCTCGCACAAAGACTTGGCATTGGGAAGCCAGGAAGGACGAACACATGCAGCATTATCTCAAGTTCAGAGAACTGAAGAAAAACAGTCAAGCCTGGGGCAACACTGAAGGAGTCCCCGGGCAAAATATTGTCCATGCAGGAAGCAACAACAGAAGAACTAACGGGATCCACACAGTCACTTTACCAAACACAATTGGTTCGTGTTCAGCCATTTCCAAAGGTAACATATGATCAAGCACCAATGGTACTAAAGGAACAATTCCAAGGTGCACTGAAGATATTAGCACAAAATAAAGTTCCATACATTTACAGACTACGACTTGACATGTTTCAACAACCTGATGATTCACAGGAAACACTACTGTGTGCCAAGAAATTTATAGAGGACAACTGCCTGGCCAGTGGACTGGAAGAGATTATATTTTGGCCCGTTCCAAAGGAAGGTGACCCAACAGAATGCTCAAATTCTAGAACAATATCATTGATATCACATGCAGGTAAAATTTTACTGAACATAACTTAAAAATGACTACAGTAATAAATCAGCTAGGAACTGTCAGAAATTCTTGCCGGATTCAGAAGGGAGTGTGGAACAAAGTATATAATTTCTGCCATCATATAGATCTTGGACAAAATCAGAGAACACCAGAGAATTGTGTACTTGTGTTTTACTGATTTTGCAAATGTACTCAACTGGGTGGTTCATCCCAAATGACAGAGAACATCCCAGAGAATGGGGATTCCAGAACATGTGCTCATTCAGAGAAGCTGTCCTATATGAAGAAGAATGTGGCACCAGGACTGGAAGAAGGCTTGTTAACAGCCTGTGATATACAGATGGCACACCCTTTGTATTTAAAGGGAGGAGGACCTGAAGCTCTTGATGTTGAAAATCAAAGACTGCAGCCTTCAGTCTGAATTGCAACTCAGTGTAATGAAAACAAGAATCCTTACAACTTGAAAAATGATAGCATTATGATAAGCAGAGAGAAGATTGAAGTTATCAAAGATTTCATTTTGCTTGGATCCATAATCAGTGCTCATGGAAACCGCAATTGAGAAAAAAAAAAATCAAGATGCACTGCAATAGGGGCAGATCTGCACAGGACCTCTTCAAAGTGTTAAAAGCAAAGATAGCACTTTTCAGGTGAAGGCATGCAGGACCCAAGTTGTGATGTTTTCAGCTGCCTCCTATGCATTTGAAAGTTAGACAATGAATAAAGAAGCCTATGGAAGAATTGATGAAGTTGAATTATGATGTTGGTGGAGAATATAGAAAGTACCGTGGACTTCCAGAAAAGAAATCTGTCCTGAAAGAAATACAGCCCTGATGTGCCTTAGAAGACTTCATCTCACATATGCTGGGCATGTTATCAGGATGAACCAGTCTGTGGGTAAGGATATCATGCTTGGTAAAGCAGGGGTTCAGCAAAAAAAAGAGTAAGTTACTCAGTGGGATGGAGAGACACCATGGGTGTGACAATGGGCTCAAACTTAATTGTGAGGATGGCACAGGACCAGGCAACGACAATAACAGTGCCTGCTTTTGGTGCTTTTCACACGATCTCAGCATGATTGGTAGGTCAGGGTTGTTACTCTGACATTCACATGAGGCAGTTAAGTAATCATGTGCTCAAGGTAAGCATCTAGAAATTAGACAACAAGGATTTGAACACAAGTGATTAGACTCCATTGTAATCCCTCCCCTACCCCCACTTCACTCTGTTATTATAATGCCCACTATTCCCTTCTCTTACATAATCTGCTAGGCTGATGCCCACTTAAACCAAAACCACACCAGGGCTATTGAGTCCATTCCAGCTCATAGTGACCCTACATGACAGAGAGCAACTTAGAAATAGCTTGCAAAACACAGTAGTGGAGAACATACGAAGGACACAGTGAATGCTCGTTGTTAGTCACTTGTAAGTACTTGGTACAAAATGCCTGCTTCTGACTGACCCACTGCTACTGAGTCAAATCTGACTCAGAGGGACCCTACAGGACAAAGTAGAACTGCCCCTGTAGGCTTCCCAAGGCTCTAACCCTTGAGGGAGCAGACGACAGTCTCCTTCTCCCACAGAGCAGCCGGTGGGTTCAAGCTTCCCCGCTTCTGATGGTCAACCGATCACGTAACCATCGTGCCACCACTGCTGCTTTATTCTTGGAACAAGACCAGATGCCCATCGCCCTGCTAGCCTATTGATTCTGATTCGCAGTGACTAAATCTTTTCTGGAGCAGACAGCCTCCTCTCTCTCCCATGGAGCCGCTGGTGGTGTAAACCACAGCCACACACCTGGTCCAGCTCCCACCAGGCTCTGCTCTTTTCTTTGTTGTTTCTCTGTTCTAAAGCAGTCGCTGGTGCCCTGCCTCAGTGGCAACTTCAGGATTCAGAGCTCACTCCAGATGGGCCTCACCTTTGCTTCGCACATCCTTCTGCCTCCACCTGCCAGTGTGCTTGATGGAATTCTCCCTTCCTTGTGCGAATACTCATTTGCACATGGGAAATACTCAGTGCCTTTGTGTCCTTCGTTCTGGCCTGGTTACCCTTCCTCGTGGTGGTGCTTGTTCCTCTTCTCCGTACACTTCTTTTCAGACCTCCCTGTGTTGGACCCAGTCGGCTCAGTTCTCCACGACATTCTTCTCTGCAGCCTCTCTGTTTGCTCTTTGTCTCATGGTAATGACATATTCTTGTTTTACTCTTTTATTTTTTTTATTTTTATTAAATACTTTTATTAGGGTCTCTTACAGCTCTCATCACAATCCATCCATCCATCCATTGTGTCAAGCACATTTGTACATATGTTGCCATCATCATTTTCAAAACATTTTCTTTCTACTTGAGCCCTTGGTATCAGCTCATTTTTCCCCCCTCACTCCCCCACCCTTGTCTTATAAGCAGTTTTTTAAGTTTCTCTTAGTAACTGTAAAAGGATACTCAGCCCTTTTTCTATTACCTCAAAGGAAGTGGTGGGCTTTTTCATCCAGAGAGCATTTCACCAATGCTGACTAACTTCTGTGCTATTTGAAGCCTACATTTTAATCAACTGACAGCATGGTCATGTATAATAATGAAAATCTACATGTTCATTGCCAGGAAAAAAAAGAAAAAGTGTGATAATGGAGACTTGAAAAGTTGATGCTTAGAGACTACATTTCAGTCTTAAGCAGCGGTTCTCAACCTTCCTCAGGCCGCAACCCTTTCACACAGTTCCTCATGTCGTGGTGACCTCCCAACCATAAGATTATTTTCATTGCTACTTCATCACTTGTCATTTTGCTACTGTTAAGAATCGGGCGACCCCTGTGAAAGGGTCATTCGCCTCCCCCCCCAAAGGGGTCATGACCCACAGGTTGAGAACCACTGGTCTTAAGGATCACCTGGGCTAAAACCAAACAAGCCCCTCTCCCCCGTGGGGGGCTCATCATTAGCTATGCGATAAATAAACAGATGTTGGGTTTGGGACACAGGGTGACTTTAGGACTGTGAAGGCATTTGGGATGCCTAGGTATTAGAGGGCATTGTCTCTTTTCATGATGTACTCTTTGCTTTCATGACTGCCCACCTCCCACTGCCCTACCAGGAACAAGGGCCGCACAGGCTAGCCAGTGCCATGCAGTGCCTGACAAGCCAGACTCGTCCTGAAACCTGAAAGCCGCCCCTGGAGGCGTCTCAGAGATGAGAGTTTGAGGATGAGCCGTGACACTGTGCTAGTCTTTTTCAATCCTGTGTTTTCTTTATTTCCACCCACCCCCTTTCCAGGTTTCCTGAAATGCAGTTTTTTCAACAAGAAAATGTGAGAAAAATTCTTACAGATGTTCTTTTCTGTTATGCCAGAGAAAACGAACAGTTGCTTTATAAACAGGTAATGAAAATATCGTACAGGTGGCATCCATTGACTCAAAGTTTTCTATACAGCTTGACAAATGATAGCGCAATAATGTAGCCTTTATTGTATCCAGAGTTGTATCATAATGGTAAAGCAATCAAAGACTTGCTTGTCTGCTGCATAGTGAGAAAAGCAAGCTCATTGAAGCACATATGCTGCCTCCTCATTATAAGACATTCCACCAAATTGTCTTCTATAAGGCTGTTCAATCTTTTCTTTCAACTTTTGGGAGTTTGTTTATAAACAGCCTCTTTAAAGCCAATCTAGTAATAAAACTTTGTAGAGTTATAGGTATAAATATGGTTTCTAAGTACAGCTTTTATAAATAAGTGAAAGGCCATGTAACCCAATCAAGTCTCCTATAACTCTTTGTCATCACTAGAACTTCCGAAAGTGGCTGGGACATCAGAAAATGTCTGAAATTCTCACTTGGTTTCCTTGTGACCCTTTTGTTTGACTCATCCCATTACTAAAGCAAAGCAGATTGTGTTGGATTATGCATTTTCATTAACATGTAAATTATTAATACAGAATGTATCCAGGTTTTCTACTTAAGGGGATGATGTTCCTATAAAAGTAGATATGGTTGGATATTTTTATGTGTTTCTCCAAACGTATATAGGTGGAAATTAAAACAGAATTCATGAATTGTCTAACAATTAAAATTACACACCCAGCTGCTGACCACTTAACTTCCCTTGAATCTATGAGAAACTGTGAATGAGAACTGCTCTGGGATAGTCTTTAAGTCGAATTTGCAGGTAAGTCAGAACAGGTGTATACAATTCTTATACAGCCTTAGTTTAGTGCAGGGAAAGGCTCCGGGCCTTCTCAGTAATGTAAAACCTGCACATGAGCAAGGGAAGGTAATAGTGGCGTAGAATTGGCTGTGCGCTTCAAGGTGAGGGCAAATTTACATGACATAAAGTACCAGTTGTCAGCCTAACATTCATCCGGGAGGACTTACTAGTACTTTATATTTTTAAAACTTCCTAGATAGTAAAAGCAACATACTGCATTTGAAATAAAGTAGACCTAAGAGAGTAAACAAAGTCCAAGTATAATTAACTGAAATAATTTGCTATTTTTGTATACAGAGACTACCGGAGGGAACTGATTTTTAACCTTAATTTTCATATTAGTCTATGTTTTATATTAATTGTTGACATTAACCTTTAGAATTGGAAACAGAAAAATTCTGCTCATAGCGGCAATCCAAATGAAAACGTCTGACAATACATTTAACAAGAAACACAGAGCAACTCTGTGAAGAAAATGATAAATTTCACTGAAGGATAACACACAGGAGTTGAATGGGAAACTAAAAATATTAATCCTTTACAAATCAAAACCTAAATATATTTTTCCTATGCGAATGCAGTGAGGCATTTTACTTGTGTCTGTTTTGTTACTGTTGACGATTTGGGGTTTTCAATTTTTCTTTGGGGGATGGATCCTTCTTAAAAATAGGTTGTGGGTGTGGGTTTGTGTTATTTTAAACCTTGTGCTTCAGATAAATATTTACAGAGCAAATTAGAGTTCCTGTTTGTAACATTTTTATACAAATTATTCCTTTACATTGATTACAATATTCACACGATGACCTCATTCTTGTGAGTTCCGCTTTTATTGACCTATATTATTCCTCCTTCCTACTTCTCACCTTTGTTTTGGAGTAAATGTTGAGCTTTTGGACTCATAAATCGATTGTTTTTTAAGTAGACACGATTATTTTAATTTCATGCCAAAATGGTTTCCCCTGAGTGTAATGGCAGTAAAAAAGTTTCCTTACATCTGCCATAATCCACTTTCTTAATGCACTCTGCATGACCATAGGGCTCTTCCATGCCCCTGCACCATGGGCAGAGGGGATTCAACAGAGGCTTAATCCTCCTGTTTCCCCTGTGCTTTGCTTTTTTAAATTAAAACCACTTTTAAATGAGTCAAAGGGGAGATCAAATAAGACATTTTAAGTTTATCTCCCACAATTGCAGAGACTATAACTCTACAGTAGAAAGCCCCCTCATTCTCTCTTGCAGCAGCTGATGGCTTTGAACTGCTGATCTTGAAGTTAGCAGCCCAATTTATAACCACTATACCACTAGGGCCCCATAACATAGCTGAATCCTAATTCTGGACTGAAATTCCCTCTAGTTAAGTCTCAGCTCCACCATTTACTAGCTGCATAATCTTGAGTAAATTACTAGAGTCTCCTAATCCTGAGTTTTGTCATCTGTGAGGAGACTGTAGCGTTTACCATATAGGGTTAAGAATGCATCGTGTTCACCACGTACTGATCTTGGTATTTGTAACTATTATTGTTGCCATCCTAATCATCATTAAAGTTTGCTGGAGTTGTCACATAATATAGGGAAGGAAAGAATGGCAAAGAGTGCTACTGAACTGTGTTTAAAGGTTCTGTGATCAATATGACAAGCATGGGAATGAGCAAATAGATCATAAGAGATGAAAACAGCCCACTTGTATGTATATAAGATCAAAAGGTGATGTTTTAATTCAATGGAAAAATGATACTGATTTGGCATATCTGGCATATTTGGCCATCTAGTAAAAATAATTTATACCCTTATTTGAAAAGAAATCTCATGTATAAAGCTATCGAGATAAAAATAAATATATGTAATGTGCTAAAGGAAAATTTAGGAGCGTTTTTGTATTTATATAATCTCAAAATAGGAAAAGCCTTTGCAACACGTTAGCCTATAAGAGGGCGGCTGACTGTGGCTCGCGAGCCTTCTACAGCTCTCGCGGTATATACATGTGGCTCTGAAGTAAAATTAAAAATGAAACCAAAACTGCCATAGTTTGCTTTCAATCTTCCTTATTTGTGAAAATACAGTTATGGCTCTCGAATAATTTTTAGTGGCTTTATTCAAATTTTATTAAAATTCACATTTATCGCACACTTCCATAGTTAAATTTCTTTTAAAAAGAGTTCTCTATGCATCATCACACTCCATTCTAGTGCTCCCTCCCCCATCTCATTCATGATTTGCTCCCTGTAACTTTTCAATTGTTGTGTGAGAAAGGATCATCGGCTCTTCCAACCCCCTGAGCTATAAAATCAAACAATCTCTCCCATACCTCTCAAGTCCCCTTAACAAATTCTGGGAGGTAAAAACAAAAATCCTTAATCAGTGTATAATTCCTTTAGAAACAATTACCAGGAGAACTCTCTTTAAGGGACTTAGTGGTTAAATGTTATTCAAAGATAGAGCAAGAAGGCTGGGGGGGCATGTGGTTCTGCACCACTAGTGAATTCAGGAGCTGAGAGCACGTGTGCTCACCGCGGGTCCAAGTCCCTGTGTCTGCTTCCCGCTCCCCACGGCTGGGTCTCGTCAGCCCTGTTCCTTCTTTGTCTCAACTTCTCCTTCAACTACTTAGAAAGACCTTGCAGAAAAGGATAGAATGAGAATGAATCATCAATAAAAGTATCCTCTTGTACATTCCTCTATAGAGAAGGAAAAGTCTAGATAACGGAGTCTTATAACCATCTTTATCAGCAAGAAACAAAAATGGAAAGTACACAGCTCCAACCTTTGTGAGGTTTGTGAGCCATTGCATAGGACAAGTGGGCAGGAATATGAAAGAAGTTTTTGATCATTTAGACGAGACCTGTCAATGATTTGGTAAGTTATATTTACCTTCTCCTAGGTGTCACATAAAAAGACGTAATTACCCCCTGCACACGTTTGCAATCCTGCAGCTCCATTACAGAAAAATAATACCTTGCTGTAAAAGTACTGAATATTTAGCTGGATCAAATTTAAGAAAGAAAAAAAAAAAACCTTGAGTTTCATCACAAGCTGTTAAAGCTATTATTTTGTACTAGGTGACACCCCGTTTAACATCGACCATATTGTTAATAGTTATGGGATTTTATTGAATTAATGAGACTGTTATCATGTAGTAGAATGTCTTGCTGAGTTAATTGAAACTGCAGAGATTATATAAATGGTATTAATGAACTTTGACTGCCTGATGCCTCAGCTTTAATAAAGACTGCTTGGTGGGCTAAATGAACACAGGCAGATAAAAGAACAGGTTCAATTTTGTGAGCCTACAGGCTGTTGATGAAGAAAACTTCGTTACCTTCATTTTCAGCTGGCACGGGTGTGGAGTGCAGTGACTACTAACTCTCCAGCAGGGAGAAAGGCTGTAAGCAAGCAGAAAAGCTGACAGCGTAGAGGGAAGCAAAAGATGTATTTGGAGAACTAAGAAATATGTTGACACTACATGTTTTTAAATTACACTTGGTCTCATTTTTAGCATACTGAATTTATCATCATTCTGTGAATAATTTTTATTTTCCTTTAATGAAGACTACATGCTTACTACTGATATTTATTAATCATGTGTTACTAGTCTAGAAATGAGAGTGAAAACCAAATCTCTTTCAAATCTATTTTTTTTTAAGCTTTTTCTAGTTTAGCTACAAATTAAAGCTGGACTTGTCGAAAGTTGTCATCACTGTCCATTCTGCAGTGTTCAGGGGACTCTGAGTTTCCATTATTAGTGATTTGAAAAAAATTGAAATAAGATTTAGTGTTACTCATTTTTCTTTTTTTCGTATTTTGTTTGATTTTGATCGATGTGTTGTTAATATCTTCAGTGGTAGCTATTCATTCAGTCAGCATGTAGTGAGTATATTCTATATGCTGATCCTATGGGAGGTGATAGAGCTGAAATGCATTACCCATACCTTCTCTCTCACTCCATCACTTGCTTTACATACACATATACATACCTATGCATCATTTAATGGCAATATATAAATATAATTTCAGTATACAAATATAATGTCTTCTTTGAGACTGCAAGCTCCATACATTTTAGGAACTTTTCTGTCTCATTCACCTTTGTGTCTCTGGTCCCTACCCCCCACCATAGGCTGACTTTATTTCTAGGCTGACTGAATGAATGACAAGCAAGGCATTAACAAATAGAGAATTTCG